GCACTTCCATGTGCCCTGATGGATGCTTACAAGTCTGGCTTCCACGTTTTGTATATGGGTGTCCAGCTCCCCTGGTACCTTTCACTGAACGCCCGTTGTTTCCCATCTGCTTTGCCATAATCACTACCGGGCCCCAAACTGTAACCCATCACGCTTAATTTTGTCTGAGTCCAGTGTTGCAGGTTTATCAATGATTTCTTTGCCCTTGAGCTGATTTCATGGTGTTTGAACTGCTTCAGCCACTAAGAACATGACCCCCACCTCCCTCAACGCGGTTTGGTCGTTTCCTCTGTCCTCATTGTTCAGTGTCCGCTGCTTTGGCAACTGCGCGACTGCGCGAAGCCACTGCTCTGCTCGCGCCACCTGCGTCCCCAGCACCCGGTCAACCGGGGAAAACTCCCAACTGAGACCGAGGAGGACAGCGGGCACGTGCCACTGGCATGGAAAGTCCCGGCCTGCAGCTCCAGGCGAGGTGGCACCGCCAGAGCCAGGCGCACCGGACCGGCACAGCTCAGTGCGCCCGTGGTGGCATCGCCATTCCCACGGAGCGCAGCGCGTGTGAGAGAACCGAGACGGTTTTCTGCACCCTGTCCAGGGGGTCCTGCCGCCTCCCAGCCCACAGGGCCGGCCAGGGCCCCGCCCCGCCACAGACCACAGGGCCGGCGCGGTTCTGCTCCCCACTCCAGCCTCAGCCTGGGGGCGTGGGCGGCAGCCAAGGCCGGGAGACACTCCCGGCAGAGGGTGCGTGTCGCCTGCTCTGGACCCATGGGAGGTTCTCCATGACGACTCTCCGGGGACACGGCCCTGCGCCTGGGGGCCCGTCCCCTGCAGCTTCGGGGATCAGTCTCGCTCCTGCGCCACACTGCCCGCTGTGGGCTGCTGGGCCCCTTCAGCCGCCCGCAGGCATCGCTGAGCAGAGCCACGGCCCGCCGGGCAGCCACGCGGCAGGGCTGTGCGGACCGCAGCTAGCTGCGGCTGGTGCGGCCCACGGGGCCCCGCCCAGGAAGGGCTCGCCTGGCCCGGCGCGTGGGCAGACGGGCAACACCTGCAGGCCAGCGCCACTTCGGCCTCACTCCCTGACGGCGGCCCTCTCCCGCCCTAGCCCAGGGGTAAACCGGGCCGCTGCAGCCGGGCTGGACGGGAGCAGAGGGTCCGGCGACTCCACTGCAGACTCCCAAGTCCACTCACCTCAGAACTGAGCTGTCGCGTCCAGGGGACCATGGCGTCCATTTCAGGTTTTTAAATGCTTCACCTCCTTAGAGCACACTAATAAGGGTGTGACAGAGGCAGTCACAGGCCACTGCCTTCAACAGATCACACGGACTTATCTGTCCATTCTTCCCGAAGCCGGTTATAACGTACGTCTTGCTTAGCTTAAAACACAGGCAGCTCGAGAAGCGTCCGACACGTTGGTCAGTGGTCTCTCGACCCCGCCCTTCTCCCGGGCGTTCAGACCACCGGTGAGAGCGCCTCCCTCCCATCTACAGCAGCACTGAGCGCCTCAAACCGGCATAATCCTCTGCTCAGTTCTCTGGACCACACAGTAAGGCGTTCGCGGTTTTTCATTTTCGCCAGGACCAATCCCCTTCTGTGTAAGTTCCACAGCGCAAATTTCCTTCATTGATGTTTGGGGTCTATGTCAAAGTGCACAAGTTTATGTTTTGCTACTAAGCATTTCCTCACGTTATTTCTCACAACCTAGCGTTCTCTGTGACGCTCTGTTCCTGCTGGCCTCAGCGAGGCTTACTGTTCCCTGCTCTGCGCGCTGCTGGCACCCACAGCCCAACACCACTGCACCGGGCAAGGATCCTCCCCAGCCCACAGCGCCTCAGGGCGCCCGCCCGCCCCTCGGTCCACAGGGCAGCCATCCAGGTGACCAGAACACCCTGGCAGCCCAACCTCTCACTTCCATGGTCCATGCTTAGAGACCTGATTTCTGCCCCTTTAAACCAACGGCGTGGGCCTCCACGAAGGGGGAGTCCCCTGGGGGGGCGGGGTGGGGGGCTTCAGGGTGGGCACACTCTCTTGGACGTCCACTTAGCAAAGGGACCGTTCCAGCACCTTACCCAAAGGGGGTCAAGTCAAGGCCCTGTCTTTCCGAAGCCGGGAAGTTCTGCCTCTGGGAGCCAAAGGGTGCTGGCCTGAGCCCCCCAGGGACTTGTCCCAGTGCACCCCGACAGCGTGTAGTGCTGGTAAGACCCTTCACCTGCAATCTGGCCCCAGAGTGGGAGCACAGCCGCCGGACGGGGCTTCACCGCTGGACTGGGCACCTGCCCTTCCCAGCTGCGGGAACCTCCAACCAACTACTTGTGGGGTGCCCCATATGTGTCACCAATGAAAAACAGAAATGCTACAGCAAGGCTGAAAGGAAAAGTGAGGCAATTTCTAGAAAACAAAACAAAACAAACAAAAAGATTAAATACTTGAGAGGGCCAGTCCAGAAGCACAATAGCTGGGTGACGAATTAAAGAAAAGGCCAACAGAGAAAATACTGACATTTTTCTGAAAACTCCAGAGCCGAGATGCACGAATTCATGGGTTAAAGTGACCCTCAGGGGTCACACCCCACACACACACACACAAACACCCCCCACACACACACCACACACACCTCACACACCCCACACACCACACACACAAACACCCCCCCACAGACACACCCCACACACACACACCCCACACACACACCACACACACACCCCACATACACCACACACCACACACAGCCACATACACCCCACACACACACACACCCCACACATACACCCCACACACACACCCCCACA